CTTGCTAAATATCAACCAATCATGTAACTGCTAAATGAAACATCCCCAAACCTTGCAGTAGCCACAATAAAAACCCTGCTGATTTCGAATTCGGGGCTCTCAATCCTGATCCGCTCTGTCGGTGACGGTTGAGTGCCCCTGCTCGAGCTTGAATAAACAACCCTCGTGTGTTTACATCGGAATCGGCTCCTTGGTGGTCTTTGGGGACTTCGTGATCTGGGCACAACAAGGTAATCTGGATATTGGCATAGATTTTTTAAAACCCTATTAACAGCAACAAGTATGCCACCTTGGCAATAGCAAGTAAATCAGCAACAAGAGTATCATTCAGAACAAAGTGGATATTGAGGTACTGTAAGAACCAATAATGTACCACACTGAACTATTAAAAAAAACTATAATGATTGTATAAAGACTAAGACAACCCAAATGGTGACAGCGAGTAGTCTATACCCACACCACCCTGAACACTCCCGACCTGGTCTGACTTGGGAAGATAAGCAGGGTTGGGCGTGGTTAGTAGTTCGTTCTTGGATTGGATACAATAGGAAACATCTACTAAATGCAACAATTCTGCCTCCACTAACAACAGAAAAGAATTCAACAGGAATAACATACAGCTAACTATCGAAGGGTTAATAACGTGTAAATGTTATACTAGTAAGATATAGGGGTGGAGAATGAGAGAATGAAAGAGAAAAATTTGAGAAATTAAACAATTGAGGATGAGAAGGAGAAGAAAAAAAGTAAGACAAAGGATCCTATTGAGGATTACAAGGATAATAATACAATTAGATAAAGGTATTGGAAAAGAACAAATAGCCAAATGAAGATAAAAGAAAAAAGTGTGAACATAAGGAAAATACAGAACGTATCCTCATTATGTGGATTTTTACCTTATGTTTTTTGATGTGCTTAAAACATATTTGTATTTGCAGTCTGTGAGTCACTTTACTTGAGTGATTTCAAAAAGTCTGGAACTGCAGACATACTTTAAAGTACTGATATTGTTATTTTTCTTATATGTTTCCCTAAATTCTTTATATTTACCTTCATACATTTTAGGTGTTATTCTTCCCTGATCTTATCAGCCTATCAAAACCTACTTAACATCACAATCCAATTTGAGTGAAATATTTACCTGCAAGGCTCCTTAGTCTTCTCCTTGCACCTGCTGAAATCTCTATTTTTAATCATCTCTTGGCCAGTCCTACTTCTATATCTTAAAGTATAGTCTTTAAACTATAAAAATTCTTACAACAAGAGCATAAGCATTCCTGAAGGCTATTGCACCTTTCTCACGATATTGGAATTTGTCTGCTGGCCTGTGATTCCTCCAGACTGTGAGCTTCCTGAGGACAGGACTAACTGGTCACCACCTCGATTCATCTGTGTTTTGCTGGGATCCCAGTTGGCCAGGTTCATGTTACATGGCAAATACAAGCACAGTCGTATTCATACCACAGCTGGCAGCTTACCTGCTCCTGAGGACAGACAACTACTGTATTAAAACCCGGCCATGAGTCCACCAGGGCCTTAAGCTTGAATGGGTTTCCCTGGTTCATGTGGAAGACAGTCCCATAAACCTGCAACATTTCCACAGAATGGGACAAGAAGCACAGTACAAAAGGTCAGTGAAAAACAGGCTTTCTTCTATAAACTTCGGGTAATTCTATGAAATTATATAGCATCTAGTCCAGGCTTTACGTTGTATTTTATTATCCCCCAACACAGATTTTTTTATGAAATCATGAGAATATATACATATATAACATATATTATCAATCACTCATTATTGCATAATTTATTCTTATTTTTTATATATCTACACAGTTTTGTAAACAAAATTATCTAGTGTATATTAGTACAACATCTATTTTCCCACATACACTGTACATGGGCATATTTCCACGCTATGTAAGCACATTTCATGACTGTACAATATTTATTATATGTTTAATTTTTTTAAACCTCTTATTCCAGCCCATTTCTGTTTTCTCTGATATTTTAGTCTAATTCTTCTTAGGAAAGTTTTTGCTTAAGCCTTTGAAAATATGCCTATTAATACAAATTTAAGAAGGGAAATTTCTATGTCAAACATTTCCTGCCACTGAAAGTTTTTATTACCTTCTAAATATTTACAAATTACTTTCTGGAAAGTTGAAATGACCTCTCTCCTATTTACTGAGAAGGAGATCACAGTGCTAGTCACGAGCTTTGGCGAGCACAGCCCAGGGTGAAGCATGGGGCAGCTGTTACCCTTCCCAAGAGCCAAGTCATCAAACACCACTGCCCTCAGGAACCCTGAAGAAGGCGGGCAAGGGCTGACAAGTTCAGAAGGCTGTGGCTCTGAGGAAGAGGAGACTCAGCAGTGCTTAGCAGCAAGGTCAAGTGGAGAGCAGGACAGCTGAAGGTCCAACGAGTGTGAAGGACCGATTGGACAAGAACATCTCACTGACCAGGGCACGGCCTAGCCCCGAGATGCTCTATCCTTCCCTTGAAAATGTCAGACTGAGGAAAAAGGGGAAGCAAAATTTTCACTTAACCAAGTCTGTATGAAAGTATTAAATACTCTGCCATTTGTGGATATGCAATATAGCAATTAAATCCAGTTTTAGGGGGAAATAAAGGTCACTTCTTTAAACATTGGAATTTGGAAGTAATCACTACTCCTCTCTTTCTCCTCACTACAAACTGAGTGCATCAGAGCTGGGAGGTGACACAGACCTACTCAGTGTTTATTGTTTGGAGACGGGATCGTCTTCAGGCCACAACACCCAAATCTTTCTCTTACCAGAGTTGGAATGAGGATTGAAGGGGAATGTCTACCATACTGACTTTCTGGTTTTACTAATTTGACATGCAAAACTGCCGAGACACAGCATCAACTTCTGCAATGTTGCTCAGAAAATAATGAATTTGTTGGGTCAAAGAAGTCTGCCTCTGGACTCGGCCTCTCGACAGCTGCCCTGTGCTCCCTCCGACTGACCAGTGACCTGGGGGTCACATGAAGCTCATGTGGCTTAATCCACAATGACCTTTACACAGGTGCAAGAGCACTAGGAAAAGGTAACAAAAGGTGGAATATTTATTATGCCTTTCCTACCAGCATTCCCGTCAACTGTACCAAACCCAGCATCTTTATGCTGCCCTGAGAAGTCTGGATATTTGAATCATTAGCAAAAAAAAAAAAAAAAAAAAAAAAAAGTGTAGACTAACAAGGGTCTATAATTAAAGGGTTTTTTCCCCTTTGGTTTTTGTTTTTCCTTAGATGTTATTGTAAATGGCACTGCCTTTAAATTTTTAATTCTAATTGCTCATTGCTAGTGTACATAAATGTAATTGATAGCTGTTATTTCATATTTTGGCCTTGAATCCTGACACCTTGCCAAACTTCCTTACACCTAAAGATTGTTTGGTATATTTCATAAGATTTTCTACATTAGAAAATCATGACCTCTGTGAAAAAACTGTATTTTACTTCTTTTTTTCCAATATGTACTCTTTCCTTTTTCTTGTCATTTATATTGGCTAGAACAACCAGTGTTACTTTGGTTTGTTTTGCTTTTTGTTAGGTCTGCAGTCCTCTGCTCAACCAGCTGAGCTATCGAGGGATGCACAGTATCCCTTTGAATATCAGTATTGAGAGTGGATATTTTTGCCTTATATCCATCTTAGAAAAATCATCTTTCACTATTTGGTAAAATATTAGTTGAAATTTTTGCTCGTTTTTTTTTTATCAGGTTGAAGGAAATCCCTTTTATTCCTGGGCTGCAGAGGTTTTATGTTTATTGGAAATATTAAATTTTGTCAAATAATTTTTCTATAACTATAAAGAGAAGATCATTTGGGTTTTCTTCTTTAGTTTGTTGACATGGGAACTTACATTATTGATTTTTGAATGTTAAACCTTCAATTCTTAAGATAAATCCCCATTGGTTATGATATGTTATTCTTTTTAAATGTTGTATTTGACTTCATAGTATTTTGTTGAGAATTTTTGCATCTATGTTCACGATGGATATATTCTGTAGTTGCTTTTAATATATGTAGTATTTCTAGTTTTGTTATTAGGGTAATTCTGATCTCATAAAATGAGCTGGGAGGTGTTCCTTTCTCTGCCCTATTCCAAAACAGTTTATGTAGCTTGGTATTATTTCTTCTCCACTTGTGTGGTAGAAATTGCTAATGAAGCCATCTGGATGAGGAGTTTTTTTCTTGAAGTGTTTTAAATTACAGACATAGGACAGCTTAGATTGCAAATTCTTCTTTGGTGACTTTTCATAATTTGTACTTTTCATAAAATAAATCTTGAAATGTATGAGTACAGTGTTGTTAATAACATCTTTATTATGCTTATACTCTCTATTGAGCTAGTAGCAGTGTCTCCCATTTCATTCCTAATATTGGCAATCTGTGACTTTTCTATTTCTTTGTCGCTTTGATTACAGCATTGTCAACATTATTGAACTGTTCTGAGAACGAGATTTTGGATGCGTAGATGATGTATAGATGTTTGTTATTATTTTATTGTTTTTCCTCATTGATTTCTTTTTCCTACTCCTCCTTCCCCTCATCCTCCTTCCCCTCCTTCTCTTCCTGCTGTTCCCTTCATTCCATTTGTTAATGGGTTAATTTGTACTAATTTCTAGTTTCTAGAATGGAAACAAATTTTCTGAGATGAGGTCATTCTTAGTTTTTTTAGAATAAGCAGTTAGTAATATTTTCTAGTTGTCAATAATCTATTTGCATCTCACAAATTTTGATATCTGTACTTTAATTTTCATTCAATTAAAATACTCTAATTTTCCTTGTGACTCTGAAGAGTGGTATATTTAGAATTGTGTTTATATCATTTGCAGAAATGTGGGACATTTTCAGATAGCTTTTAAATTTTAATTCCATTATTGCTTAAGAACATATTTAACATGATTACAATCATTTTAAAATTCTAAAAATATGTACTCTAACCAGATAGATATTCCTTAAGCACTTGAATAGCACGTGTATCCTGGGATTGTGAGGGAGATATTTTTCAAATGTCAGTTCAAATTGGTTCCTTGTTTTATTCAGGACTTCTATATACTTACATGTTTTCTCCCTATTCTATAAATTACTGGAAGAATTATACTAGCAAGTTTACCAGGTTTTTTTTCCTTTTAGTCCTATTAGCTTTTATTTCATGTATTTTGAATCTCTGTTGGTAGGTGGGGAAATGCTTCTGTGTACAAGATTATTGATCCCCTTCTAAAGGAAATTTCTTGCTCACCAAAAACTATACATAATCATTTGAGATGGGACAAGACACAAATTGATTTGTTATTTACGTCAAGAAAGAATCACATGGTTAAGCTCTTACCAGAAACACAACTATTTAGGAAAAACAATTAAACATTAATGTGTTAGTTTTAGTCGACCTTTCAACTCTGGAAAACTTCCAGATTTATATAACACAATTCTTTGATGAGCAGAAGGAAATGTTTTGGGTCATAGAGCATTGCCTCTTGTCTTGGTCAGGTTAGAGAGCTGAGTCTCCAGCTTCTCCTCAGTTGTATGGCTGTGATACACATTTCTTGCATAGAGGGGATGAGTTAAATGAGATCCCACACAGTGAGTGCTGATAGCGCAGAATGGGTCCTCAGGGAATACTTTCTTTTTCTCACCTCTTTCATAGGCAGCTAATGGCTCTTTATGTCCATGAGTGTGTTGTTCCACTCTTACCTTTAAGGATTCAGGGAGGTTCTTCAGTAAGGATTTCTCTAGCATTTGTAGCATCTGTGAACTTTGCAAATGGAACATCTTGGTAGGAACCTTAGCCTAAATAGAAGATCAAGAATAATCAAGGACTGGAAAGAGCAGGAGATCACATGGGTACAATAAGTGGGTCCAGGGAACTGTCTGTTGGGGCTCAGTCTTGCTGTTTCATGGATGCTCCATTCACTAAACTTCTTACTGTAAGAAAGAGCAGGCTGGTAGCGGGTATAGGTGCCTCTTCCTGAAATTATCTCCAGCATCTTGCTCAACTTTTAAAAATATTTATGAAAGTTTTGTTTTCACCTTTTTATAAAACCCAAAATTCCAACAAGTAAAGATGCATCAACATTAGTGAATCTGTTCTCTAAGAATGCATGACCATTCTTTCAGTTTCCATCCATATCCAGCCAACTCTGCCACTATATGATACCCAGCGTGCTACTCAACTCTTTGATGCCTTGGTTTCTTCATCTATAAATGGCAGTAAGTGCAGCACTTAGTTCAGAGAGTAAATGACAGTTAAAGAAGTCAATGCATGTAATGAGTTTGAGCACCCAGAACATAGTGAGCATGCAATGGTTATGATTACTAGTAGCCTCTTTTATCATTTATTATTTTACCTGTATAAATTGATAGGGTGTAATGTGATAGTTCAGTACATGTATACAGAGCATGATGAGCAAATCAGGGTGGCTAACATTCGCATCTGTCTTCAGCACAAGCACAGATCAACCCACACTGCTGTCTGAAAATGGTCCAATGAGAGAATTTTCTTCTACATAACTAACCATTTTTGTGAATTTCAAATGAATTGAAAAACATTAACTGGAAAAACATTATATTAATCCATGTAAACATGGTGCATCAGATGGTTGGTTTTAAATCTACAGCAACAGGCCTGGCTTGAGCAATACTCAGTATGTGTCAGCCATCCTAACTATTGCTAGTATTCTTGGTATTAAGACAAAATAAGAAATTTTAAAAACTTTTCCTCTGGGTCTTTACTTAGAAGACATAATGATTATGTAGTACAAGTCAAATTTGAAAAACAAAGGAAAAAAGAAAAATATTTGATTATGTATTAGCATAATTAAGTATGTATATATTTACATTAGTACGTATTATACGTATACGCAAATAGTGTACTATCCTTCAAGCCTGCCGCTATTATTTTTTTTAATTTAGAAGGTCTTATGGAAGTATAGGGCTTAGAAATCTGTATTTTAAAAAGCTCTCCAGATTCTTTTTGTTAGTATTATCAAATTTTTTGAGGCATAATTCATACTCAGTAAAATTCACCAATTTTATTTTATTTATTTATTTATTTATTTATTTATTTATTGGTACCAGGGATCGAACTTGGGACCTTGCTCTGGCAAGGCAGGTGGCAGAACCACTGAGCTAAATCCCCAGCCTTACCAATTTTAAGTGGATGATTTTATGCATTTTGATAATGGTGTATATTGGTAGAACTAGTATCATAACAAGCGGGGATTTTCCAACAGACCCCAAAGATTCTTCTCCTTCCTTGCCATCAACCCCTTTCTCTTTCTCTGACACTGAGCCCAAAGCAATCATTAACCTGTTTTGACCCTAAAATTGTCCTTTAACAAAATGTCAAATATGTCAAATTTTTTAATATGTGGCTTTTCCAGACTAGCACCTTTTTTTGTCAAATCCAAGTTGTTGCGTGTTTTGATAGGACAGTCTTTTTATTGCTGGATAATATTCCATTATAGGCATTGTGTGGATGTATCAGTTTTTAACCGTGAACCTGTTGAAGGGCATATGGGTTACCTGTAGGTTTGGGCAATTAGTAATAAGTTATTAGAAAGAGTCATATATATTTATTTATTTATTTCCCTCTGAGTACATTTCCAGAGTTGTGTGATAAGTGTATATTTAACTTTAGAAGAAACTGGCTTTCATTTCTCCAAAATGAATGCACTGTTTTACATTTTCACTGTAATGCATGGAAGTTCCACTTGTTTCTCATTCTCTCCAACACTTCTGTAGATGATTTTTTTCTTTTTTTTTTTTTTTTGTAGATGATTTTTTTCTATGCAGCCTTACTGAGGTACCACTGATGTATTGAGTGAAATCCTCAACAACACCCTTAAATTTTAAAAAACGTTCAAGAAGATACACAGAGCATATTCTCGGGGTAGGGAAAAGGTTAAGGCCTGTGTGGATTCCAACAGGTGCACGTCCCTGAGGGACCCATGGTGGACACTGCTCAGTCACTGTGAGTCAGCAGAATGAGAGTGGCTGAAGAGCTCCCACCACCCCTACCGTGTTCTGGAAACAGCTTTCGGCAGCGACCCATCCTCCCCATCTGAGAGAGGCCTCCCAGAGGTCCTCCTTGCTTACCCAGGAGAAGGCCAAACACGGGCCCTCCAAAGCCTCATTCTTTGCTTCATAAATAATGAGCTGAACTGTTAACCCGTGTTCACAAATAAGGCAATATTTGTCGATCAAACTTCAGTCAGTGTTCTCCCCGCTGACCCCAGGCTGAATGTCCACTTCCCTCCTTCACTGCCCCCACCAAAAATACCCTGAGCTCTGGGGAAAACGTTCTGCGATCCACTACAGACAGAGCTGTCCTTCATTCCCCTTCCCCTGGGTTCTCCATGGCACTATTTCTCCCTCCTAAATGGTTAACCACTCTCTTCATCCTCATGGGCTCATCAAAACAAAGCCAGCTTTACCAAACTGTAGTTAACTTTCTCCTCTTCACGGGACTGTGAACAATAGTGGTGTGCAGAAACACCCTTCTTGCTATGAAGTAGGACACCGCAAAGCTTGCTTTCCTCTCACCCTAAAAGAGCAGCCCTTTTCCTCCCCATTGTTCAGATCTTTGTAGATCTTGTGATCTGAGATGCCTTCTAATTGCAACAGTCCCTTACCCCTTTTGAAAATACAGTGTAAACAAAACGACTCCTCACCCAAGCATGGAGTTGGTTTCTCTTCTTTTAAAATATTTTGGTTCAGCTTCATTATAAGTTAAACTGATTTTATGAGAATCTGAGTATGTAGCAATCTATTCTTTCACTCAACCATCCACTCATTCATACATTAAATCTCAACTGAAAACCCATTGTAATGTTTTTGTGAGGTGTTCCTGGGCTGAACTGAAGGGGGCTTCCTGCAATTCCCTTCCCAGCAGTTGTGCAGTGGGGTGGTCCACAGAGAGATTTTTGTGGGAGTTTTGCAGAAATTGGAGCAGCAGCTGCTTTTGCCAGGAGGCAGTGCATAAGCTGGCAAGTAATGCACTATCCCCGAGATCTACTGCCCACTTCTTGGCCATCCTGGACAAGTGTGTGCTCACCTCCACCAGATTTACCTAACAGGCTTACATGGGAGTCTGAAAGTAGGCAGCCCTAGAATACTGAAGAGAGGAGGATGTACAGTGAGTTGCATGCTCTTGGGAAGCACTGGCTAGGTCTTTTTGAAAGAAAGTATAAAGAAAGTTCTTCGTGTTAGATGGGAATGGTGACTAGACACAAATTGGGGATATGCAAAATCCTGTTTGGAGAAAGCCACCATTGTCCTAATTGTTTACCTCATGGCTACCTTCTACTTGCCTCGTAGTTTTTGTTTTTTAATGACCCTTGGTTGTGTGTGTGTGTGTGTGTGTGTGTGTGTGTGTGTGTGTGTCTCCATGGAACTGGCTTATCAATGTTAGGTACCTAACTCCAGCGGGCTCTTTCTCTGATCATTTTGAGTTCCACACTCTCTTGTCACTGTATCCAAGACCTTCCCGTCATTAGTTTGACCTTTCTGGAACACTGGTTCTTTGGGTTGATCAAATAGAATCTGTACTTGTAGAGATAGTGCTGGTCATCATTGATTTCTGTTGGCTCTAAATTACCAGTGATTTCACTCTACCTTTTGATCTCGTTGCTTTAAAATACTGGGGATTGCTTGGACTGAGAAACATGACTTTTCCAGCTGTTTCTCTTTGTCCAAGGTTTTTTTTCAGTCTTTTGGGTGCAAGAACATGTCTTCACTTAACCCTGAATTCCCTTCATGACTTAAAAGGAGAGGAATCTTAAACAGAACAATTGAGGCAGTGGTGACAACCTGGCCGTTGCTGCTGGGAAAGTAGCTGAGGCTGGTAGCATTCTCACTCATGCAGTTCTAGTGAATTATTGCCCCCCTCACACACACACACACACACTTTGGGTCTGGGGACAGAATCTGTGGCCTGGCACATCCCAGGCAGCTGTTCTACCACTGCATTACACCCACCTTTGGCCCCCTGTAAACTATTTTTAATCACCAAAGCCCCACCTGCTAATCTTACCCTCTCTGCACAAGATCACAGAACAGTTTTAACACAACACCTACTTCAGCACCTCTGAGGGCTCTTCATTTACGTCCCACTCCACAATGCCTACAAAACCCAGCTCTTATTCCTTTTACAAAGCCCGAATCACACAATGGGTTTTTCTTAATTTCTTCCCTCTATGGTCTGAAACCCCAGCAGAACCAAGCACTTTCTTCACTCTCCTAGGATTATGTACATATTTCAACCACAAAACTGGGATCAATGGGTTATAGTTGGTCTTGTGAATTCCTCTGGACAAGGCCTCAAATTTTATCCTTTATTCTCAGAGAGTATCACATTGGCTCACTCCCATTAAGGACTCATTACATGTCTGTTTAATGATTTCATTATGAAGTATTTATATTAACATAGCCATTTATTTAGTCATTTTGCTTACTAAGTGCAAAGATTCACCTATTCATTCAACAAGTAAGCCATTCTCTGAATCTGTGTGTCCTCCTTGAATTCGTATGTTGAAATTCTGACTCCACAGTGATGCTAGGTAGAAGGGAGGCCCTTGGGGCCTAGGTCCTAAGGAAACTACTTCCACCACATGAAGACACAGAAAAAGGCACCACCATTAGTCAGAAAACAGACCCTCTCCAGACACTGACACTTAAGAAATAATGTCTGCTCTTCATAAGCCACCCAGTTTAAGACATGGGGTCAGAGCACCCAAATACACTAAGATGACATATATATTGAAGGCCAACCATTGAATGGTATGGGGATTTTTATCTGATGCTCCACTGAAATAAAACACCAGACTAGACTACAGCCACGTAGGCCAAGCCTTAGAGTCTCAAGGCAGAAGTGTAATGAGTCTGAAGGCTGATTTGATGTTTTAGCTAGAAGCATCTCAGAAGGTTACAGGAAAATAAGAAGCAGGGTGAGTTTGATCCCAGAATACCGAAGCTGTACCATGGAAGTATTGCTGGGTATATTTGGGACAGCATTCTGCACACGCCTACACACACCCCTGGGGACACAGCCATTCTGTTTACTAATGGGATGGACTAACCATGGGAGACCTGAGGAGCTGGGTTATCAGTACTGGCAAGGCACATCATCCTGTGAAAAGAACTTTGAAACTTCTGACAAAGCCACTCCGGTACTCAGAATTCAGCCAAAGAAAACAATTCCTTTGAAGAAAAACCCCCTATGAAAAATTGTGGTAAGCATAGCTACCTCATCATTTTTTGTGCACATTTTATATACCACATAGATGAAGAGAAAAATCCAGAAGGAAACACCAAGTAATACAATAGATGAGTGGGTTTTTTTAATTTAAATGAACACTTCATCACCTTTGTGTTTTAGTCCCTGTACTAGAACCTGCTTAGTCCTTTTATGACTAAGTAGGTTACTTAATTTCCCTGGCCATCAGTTATCCAAAGAAAAAGCCAACTACTTTAGACTGTCACCAGAGGATCACATATGATATTTGCACAGCATTGTACACTCTGTGTCAACCGTTTCCTGAACCAGAATGCTTCTTGCCAGGGGCTAGGACATTTTCTGACACACACCTACCAAGGCCCAGCTCCTAAATCTTTTCATATTTATTTATCAACTCACAATCAAACTTGACTTCATCCAACCAGAACTTTCTCTTGGATCTAGCACACTGCCCCACATATCTGGGTTTTTCAAATACAGTAACTTCCTTCTCCTGTGATGTAATTCTCAACACAAGTAAGCTCAGGAGTTCTTATCCACATCCATCAGGAATATTTTGATTCATTCCACTTCAGTAGGGAAGCAAAAGGAAAGGAGTGGCCCCAGAGCATCTGTTTCCCCTTGTTCTCACCTGCAAATCTGTCTTCTTATTCTCTACAAACGTCTCTGGGACAAGAGGCAGCAGACGCTTCCAGAAGCTTAATATAAAACCTCCAAGTGTGCCGGTTTTGAAAGGTGTACTTTGATCTGATTTCCCAGAAACTGCTGAGCTAGAGTTCTTGGTAGAGTGCACGCGTGGGGCTGTGCAATGTGATGTGGACTCAGGCTCCTCCCTCTGGGTTCTATGTTGAGGGAGATGGCTTTGTGCCCGACAGCTCAGCAGTGAGCATTCTTTTAAGTCTCCTCCCAGAAACTTTCTGGCCTTGCTCAGCCACTCTGGGCTGTGAAAGCAGCTCCCCAGGTGCCAGGAGGGAGATGGGTAAATGAGTCTTAAGAGCTGGCTAGTGCTCCTACTTGGTGTTGAGGATCAGAGTTCTTTTCTCAAACATCCATAAAGAAAATTGCCTATTTAAAGGGACTAAAGACAAAGATGCTAGCCTTCAGAATGTGCTCAGTAAATTCTATACAGGGTAAACAGAAGGAAAACTATACCCAGACACATGGCACTTAAATTACTGAAAACTGACTGTAAAGAGAAAACCCTAAAGGCAACCTGAGGAAGAAAGATGCATTTTGTAGGGAAATAATAGTATAAATAATGGCTGACATTCAGAAGCTATATCATAATGTTCAGAACACAAAAGAATGGCATTTTTGAAATACCAGGAAAAAATAATTCTTAACCTAAAATTCCATATCAAACAAGATTTTTTTTTCCAAAATGGAGGTAAAATGTAAATACTTTCAGATGAATAAGGCAATCTTGTCCTGCCACTGGCAGGGGCACGGGGCGGGGGGCGGGGGGTAGAACTCCAGTAGGAAGGGAGGATGTGGTAAATATCTAAGCTGCACTCCAATTGGCTGGCGCCTTTAGGACCAGTTTGAAACTTGGCTGTTAAAGCTCTGGTTGGGACAAGACACAGGGAGACCCGGACATTTACGTTGAGGTGGCATGGACCTGGGATCAGGAAGGAAGAGGTGAAGGGCACTCCTGTAAAAGTGGCACTAAGTGTTGCCCTCTGGGCCCTGGAGACATTAGGGAAGACTGAGGGATGTGCCCTTCGTTTGTCCTGTGAGCCTCAGGGGGTGGTCGGTAGTGACAAATCCTGTGCCTGCAATACTGTCTTTGACCCCTCTGCTGGACAGGAAGAGGTCTTCAGTACAGCAGTGGCACCACTCATACAGCCCTTTTGAGAGGATGCGATGGCCCATGGGCAAACTGGCTCTGGAGAAATTTATTCAGTGGGAGGCATGTATACCAGAGCAAGAGAAGGAACCAACAGTCGGGGCCAAAACTGCTCTTTAAAGAAGAGTAAAGAGAGTGGTAAAGAGAGTGACTTTGAATTTACTCTGAAAGTGTCTGACTTGGAGATTTACAATGAAGAAATTTTGGATCTTCTGGGACCATCTTGAGAGAAAGCCTCTCAAATACACATCTGGGAGGACCCTAAGAAAACAGGAAGATTCTCCCTGGGAAGACGGTTTGGGCTGCCTTGGATACTGTTTCCTGTCTGAAGCGGGGCAGCAAATGTAGGACTGGACTGTGGGCGCCACAGCAATGAAACCCAGCTGTCCCGATCTCAGGCCATCTTCACAGTCTCCAAGGAGCAAAGAAAGATGGTGACAGTCGCAGTTTTCATTGGAAGCACACCTCGCAGACCTTGCTGGACCAGAAAGGCAGAAGAAAACCAAGGCTGCAGGCTTCGTCTAAAAGCAGCTGTTGATACTGACGGAGGCCTCTTGTGCTTGGGAAATGTAGCCTGTGTTCTTGAAGATGACAGGAAGGGGTGGCTTTGGGCACTTCAGAGATTCCAAGTTCACCCAAAGCTTCAAGATGCTTTAGGAGGTAACAGCCATACCCTCGTGACAGCCTGTGTGAGTCCTGCTGATTCTAACCTAGAGGAAACGGTAAATGCCCTGCACCATGCTGACAGAGCAAGAAAAATCAAGAACAAACCCATTATTACCACTGATCCCCAGCAGCTGAACTTAATTGTCTTAAATACCAAGTACAAGAGCTGTACCTCTTGCCACTGCACGCCCATCGAGGTACCTACCCTACCTTACCCATTAGCGTGGAACCATCAGGGAATCTGCAATCCCTAAGGGAGAAGCAGCCATCCCCGGCAGAGGAGAATGAAAAATTAAGTCAGGGTCTGAGCGAGGCTGCTGGTCAGACAGCCCAGATGTTGGAGAGGACCATTTTGAAAGAACAGGAGAATGAAAACATGAATGCCAAGACAGCAGAGTTAGGAAGCCTGCAAACTGGATCTTTAAAAGCAAGTGGAGAGGTTGGAAGACAAGGAATTAAAAGAAAATATAGAGATAATCCAAAACCTCCAACAAGTGACTGCCCAGCTGTGGGATGGAGGTGCTGCTTTGTGGCTGGTGCCATTGGAACTGCAGTGGAGTGGAAATCAGTATGGAGACACCTCAGAGAACTAGGACTAGAGGTCCCATTTGACCCAGCTATTCCCCTGCTGGGTATCTTCCCCAAAGAATTTAAAGAATCATACCACAGCGATATATGTGCACCCATGTTCATAGTAGCACAATTTGTGATAGCTAAAGCTTGGAAACAGCCCGATTGCCCATCAACTGGAGACTAGATAAAAAAGAATGTGTTTTTTTTTTTATAAAATGGAGTACTATTCATCTATAAAAAATGAGAAATTAGAGACATTTAGAGCTAATGGATGCACATTGAAGTGATACTCTTAAGTGAAATAAATAGGACACACGTGTAAATACCAAATAGTTTCTCTAGTGTGAGAAACTGAAAGTGTAAATAAGGACTAAAATGAATAATTAATAATGTGAAATTGGAAGAAAAGGTCCAAAGTGGACAGGGAAGTGGGAGGGGTAGGGGAAAGGAAAGAAGGGAATGGAATTAATATGAGAAAAGGAAAAAATAGAAAGTCTTTGTAAATAGGGAGGGGTGGAGGGGTTGAAGGGAGGGCAGGGGAGGGGGGGAAAATAAGAACCAAGGTATATCATGTACAGGCACAAATCTCTAATGATGAATGTCATTATATTGTATCCTGAAAATGTACCAATAAAATAAAATTAGGAAAAAATGTAAAGAAACTGCAGTGGAAGCAGAGGCTCCAGTAGAAACCAGACCAGATACCAGCAAGTCTTCTGGTGCTTTCTCCACTCAACACCCCTACGGCAAGCTCAGATGTCAAAGGAGCTGCCTGAGCTAATAAAGCCCACACGCTGAAGAGGCCCTCGCTAGAAAGATGACTGAGAATGCGGACCAGCTACGAGCCATTCAGTTCCAGTGCCAGCATCACATCGGAAATCTAGAATTAGAAGTCAGCAGGCTGCGAGAGGGAAAGGAGGAATTAGTTCTTGATCTTCAGACAGCAAAGATGAATGTCAACCAAAACACGCTGAGTGGGCACTGCCAAAACCCTCCAGAAGCTGGAGGGTCAAATAGCTGACCTTAAGACAAAACTAGGTGAGCAGTCCAAACTTCTGAATCCACAGAGCATTCTGCCACCAAGCTGAACCAAGAAACATGAAGGATGAACATGCAGCGGGTATAGCCAACGTGTCAGATGAGGGGATGCTGAGAATTCGGACGGTGGAAGACCAAGAGGTCATCCAGTTAAAAGAACGAGACAGTAAGAGCTGAGGAAGCTGCTCGAACTTGAAAGCAACTTCCAGAAGCAGTGCAGTGCGTTAGGACAAGACTGAGGGGCAGCAGCTGCCAACAAGTCTCTCACGGGCGCGCTCCAGAAGCAACAGAAGGTCACAGATAACAGAAAGAGACGCAGAGCCGTGGAGTGGGCGATACTGCAGCTCCAGTGAAGAGTTGACTTGGAAATAAAGTTGAGGTTACGGTCAGTAACATCACCGGAATGACCTTCTTGAAGATAGGAAGAGCCTGGCTTAGGATCTGGCTCAACTCAAAGGAAAAGAGGAATCTGGGGAGAATCCACCTCCCAAACTCCAGAGGCGCACATTCTCACACTCTGAATAGGCGCTCGAGGTTGGAAGTCAGAGGGTTGCATTGCAGGGGAGACTGACAGCTGAAGACTGAAAGAGAACTGCCCAGGGCTCAGACCACTGACTTACAACAGCAGCGCCTCCAGGCGGGCAGCGAAGAAGCCAAAGCAACACCGGGAGGATACTGTGACAATTCCAGAAGCCAGATGTGCCCTGAAGTACTTACTTGGAGAGCTGCTCTCCTCCAAAATGCAGGCCAGCAAGCTGGAAAGCAGTCTGAATCCAGCAAAGCCCGTCGTACAGATATGCAGCACATGCTGTTTGAGAAGCAAAATCACTTCACCAAGACAAACAGAGAAGGGCAAGCCGAGCCCATCAAACTGGAGCATGCAGCTTCTCAGCCACCGCAGCAAGCCAGACGGCAGGAGGCAGGGGGTCCACCCGTGGGAGGGGGCCGCCACTGCTGCTGGGCACACTCAGGAGTCAGAATGAGGAGCTTGAGAAGATGCTTGAAGTGGGGGAGCAAAGTCAGCTGCTTCTGCGGGAGAATGAAATCACCAAGCAGAACTGACTGTCCTCCAAGGAGCCGGTGGACAGAACGTCCTCTTCCTAGTGATACCCTCTTCTCTGAGTATGCCCTGCCTAAACCCAGACCTTCCCGTATTACAGAAAACGTCCTGCAGCGAATCATGGACAATGGGTTCTAACATATGATTCAGAGCATTCTGTGGTTGAACCTGAGGACAACGGCAATGGGACGATGGGGACGAGGACTGGAAGCCAACAAAATGAGTCGGGATGTCCAGGAAGAGCATCAGAGTCTCCCTGAGGGGCAGATGTGGAACGAGCAGTGCAGGCACAGGAAGCACAAGTGGGCGGGCATGGCCTGCCCCTGTGACCCCTCCAAGTGTGGGGACCGCCACCACGGCCAGGATGGCTTGGAGCAGGCGCTGTTAACAAGATGCTCCAGCTCCTCCTCCTCCTTTGACCTCCCAGAACCAAAACACAGCAACAGAACCCAAAAAACTAAGGCTCTGGGGAAGAGAAAGAGGGGAGCTCTGGCCAGCAATCCCAGCCTTTCTCTGGCTGCTCCCCTCTCAGAGAAGAGGCCCACTGAAGTCAGAGTTGTTATCTGTACCCCCACTCTGCCCTGAAAGGTGCTTTCAGGTGGCATCCAGCAGGGGCTTCTTGAGGACTTCTCTGGGTTTCAGGTGTTGGTGTCGCTGTTGAGAAAAGGGACACGACATTATTGAAAGGGAGGGAAATGGTGTCCAGTGTCGCCCGCAGTCTCCAGCCCCTGCCCCAGAACTACAACGCTTCCTGCTCCAGGAGGTGCTGAGCCATCCGCTGAGAGGGAACCCACCAGCCTCCCCGTGGCTCATGGGGAACCGGAGCCCAGCGGGACCGGACTCTTTCTCACGTGTGAGCAGCTGAGTCTGTTGCAGGCTGGAGAGGACTAGGGTGTCCCCTCTGGGTTCTCTCAGCTTAACAGACCAGCTTGGCCTACAGTGGCCAGACTCCTTCATCCACTGCGGTCCTATGGAGCTGGGGTCTTTTCTCCCCAACTCTCTTTGGATTTCACTCTTTTAACAGAGCCCTCAACTGTCTGTGGTGTGACTGAAGTAAATGCAATATTTGTAAATGTTAATTAATAAAGCTTAATTAAAAGTACATTTAAATTTTTTCTTTTCCTAAAATTTCTTTTAAATTTTTGGTATTTAACTCAAACACAGTAACTATTCTGCAGTTATAGCATATGTAGAAGTAAACTGTTTAACAATAGCAAAAGGTAGCAAATGGAATTATACTGTCACTCCGTTCTTTTTTTCTTCCCCCTGCAGTACCACAGGTTGAACTTGGGACCTTGCACTTTCGAGGCAGGCACCGGAACCACTAAGCTAAATTCCCAGCCCTGTTACTCTGTTCTCATCTGTGGTTTAACATGATCTCAAGACTAAATGTGATAGAGTAAGTATTCATGTTGTTACTATTGACTTTTTATTAACTATAAAACAGATATGAAGAGGAAAACTTAACAGCTAATATATATGGTTTCTAGAAAGTATACCCTTTGCTAATTGGGTGATTTTCAGAAACTTATGTACTGATAAAAGGTGACAAAACTGATTCTAGGAGTTATTTATTTAAAATTTTGTTCTATGACCAAAAAGCAAATCATCCTTTTTGAAAAAATTAGGGCAGAAAAACTTTTATGTTCAAATACTTGTGAAAAAGCCATGACATTGAAATATTATTATCTCTTTACCCGATTGCTTACCGAGAACTGAAATGGAAGACAGAGAGTATATTTTGAGGCAACACATGAACTTCCTTTGTCAGATTCATTGTTGATGTCTCCTAAAATTTTCAGTTAGAAATTCAGCCACTCTCTAGCAGCATGGAGTGAGTGGTGAGGAAGTATAGTTTACCAGTTCTCCTGGTTCCTCAAGAAGCTTCCAGGACCAACACTGTTTTCATGAAAAGCCTACTTTACTTATGAAGTTGGGTGGAAGACTTTTTACGTGTCCTTTATCAACCTAAGGAAGTTCTACTCTATTCCTAGTTTTCTAAGAGATCTTAGTAGGAATAAATACTAGATTTTACAAAAATGTTTTCTCTTTAGAGATAAAGTTTTACAGTGCTTTTCAGTTTGTCAGTGCTCGAGTTGAATTGGTTTGTGAACCCAAGGCCTTCACAACGAGCTACATCTCCAGCTCTTGTTTATACTTTATTTTGAGACAGGTTCTCCCTATGTCAAAAAGTTTCCCAAGCTGGGCTCGAACTTGCGACCCTTTTGCTCAGCCTCCAAGACTGCTGGCATTACAGGCTGTACACAACACCAGGCTTGATTTCTATTTTTAAATATCAAAATAAACTTGCATTCCTGGAGGAATCATACTTCATCAGACTTATGATTTTTATACATTGTTAGATCCAGCTTCCTAAATCTTTGGAATTATTGCAAAGTAAAATTAAGTCAAATTGATTCCAGCAAAAACCACAGCAAACTATTTTTGTACACCAATTTTAAAATTCATAGAAATATGCAAAGGACAAAAATGAACTTTGTAAAATAAGAACAAACTTGGACAGTTAATATTATACAATTTCAAGACCTATTATGAAACTACAGTAACCAAGAGAGTGGGACTTTTGGTAAGACAGACAACTATATCCATGGCACCGAAGACAGACCACAAATAGGACCGCACACCTACGAACAATTAATTGTTAAAAAGTATTTTTATTAGTGCCTATTAATTTTACCGAGCATGGGGCTTCAATGTGGTGTTCTAACACACTTGTCCACTTTAGCATGTCTCTCCCCGACCACCCTTCCTTGCACCTCCTCTACTTTGCCCCGTTCCATTTCTCTTTTCCAATAATAGTTGCCTTCTACTTTCACACCATTCTGTTTAGATTCAACATATTTTTTGTATTAAATTCTTTTATTGGTGCATTGTAGGTATACAACACAATTACAATTCTCATTGGGAATTGTACCTTTACATGATGCATCTTGGTTCTTATTTTTTCCCCATTCCTAGCCCTCCCTTCATGCCCTC